GCTCTCTCTCACACACACACACACACACACACACACACACACACACAGACACACTCACTGGTAGATGTCTTTGCACAGGACGGAGCGCGGCAGTGGATTGTCGGCCTGAGGAGCGACGCTCACCGATCCAATCTTCAGCACAACTGTGTCTTTCTTCCTGTGCTTGAGCTGTGAATCTGAACACACACACACACCATCATCATCACCCTCCTCCTCATCATCATCATCAGTGTGTAAGCGAGGGTGCGTTCTCACATGTGCTGCTCTGTGTGTCCTGCAGGGGGCAGAAGACACGGATCACGCTGGTGTTGAGGTAGACGAGCGGCAGGCTGCTGGAGTACAGTGAGTGTGCTCTCGTGGGCTGCTCTGTGATCGGGGAATGCAGCTGCGGCGGCGGAGGACACACCTGGAAGACGCGCGCCACGGTGGCCAGCAGAGGGCAGGACAGCACAGGGTCTAAGGGCTGCGCCGTGAGCAGGATCTCGTGCGGCACTGCGTCCGGCCCGTCCTCACACAGCCGCTGAGACGGGCGCACCGTCAGCTTGTGCCGCACATTCCTCGTCACGGCCTGCGTGTACGTCAGCGACAGGAACCCGTGCTGCTGGTGAGAGACCTCCAGAGACTTCGCCGCCGTCTGTCAGAGGTCAGGCTCGAGCGATCGACGCTCACTACAATCAAACAAACTCAAAGCAGCAGGAAAACAGCCGCGTAATCAAACACGCTCGTGATCGGACAGAGACGCCATTGCAGCAGGCGTCAGTAGCGACTTAAGCTACAGCTGCGAATGGAACGGCTACGATGACCGGAGGTAAGCTGTTACACCGCCGTAGCAGAGAACGTAAAAATCACTAAGCAACCGTAAACAAGACGGCGCAACACGGTATTCAGTCATTTACTGAAGAATTATGAAGATGTTTAGGCAATACTTAAATTGTTTGCTTCACATCATCTCTAGTCTCAGTGCTGCCTGAGATGTTGTTACTAACAGCAGAAAAACCTTTGTACAAAAGGAAAAATCGTTAAAATTTCATTTTGAAACATATCAACACAGATTAAATAAAAGACTAATGGTAGAATTGCATACTGATGATATTCTCCCCTAGTAGACGGTTACAGTAGCAGTTAAAGTCAAGATGACGTCAGAATGCCGTTGCCGTTCCATCAGTGGCTGTTGCTTAAAGTCCCTAGTAACGCCACGACTGCGGCCGCTGCCAGCAACGCTCGCTTCAGCTGATTATATAAACGCAGCAAACATCATTCATCTGCGTGTTTCGTAGCAGTGTTTCTGGAGTTCATGAGTCGAGAGCAGTCTCATTTCGAAGGCTGCGCCCTTCAGAGGTTGCATTTGTCAGCTGCATGTGCCATCGCTATTATCTCATTTAAGAACAGTAACCATTATCAAATTGACTGTTATTTTGTAAATTCCTGTAATTTCATTCCTAGTTTGTAATGTAGTGATTACTTTCCTTAAATGAGACAACCTTGATGATGTATTTGGCAAACAAATTTTAATTTTTTTTTTTAATTAAAGGGGTCATGAACTGCCTCTGTTTTTTTATTTTGTATTGTACTGTTCTCTGAGGTCCACCTTTAAGGTTATCAAGATTTATACATCAAAAAAAATAATTTAGAAGTAATAGTCTATTTTCTGTCCTGTTTTGACCCCCTCATCAGAATGCTGCTTGAATAGGCATGGAGGATTGTAGACTCGGAAGTAAACGCCCACTGCTGTGATCGGCTAATAGTTGTGTATGTTTGCCAGCATACATTCCTCACAGATGGACGCTGCTGTGATTTAGGTCATAACTCAATACATATTAAACGATCTGTAATAATAAACAAAGCAATAGTGACCACGTAATGAAAACAGTTACTCACGCTTGTGTTGCAACATTACCGTCGGATCCAATATAGTCGCACAGCATCGTCTTTTAGCTTTAATCTTTCTGAAAATCCCGTGTCGAATTGTGCCTTGTTTGTAAATGAATCCGCGCTAAAATGAAGTGAACAAAGGACCGAGTTCTTACTGATGCGGTCTGGAACTTCATTAAAAATAAGTTCATCCACTCTTTCTTGGGATCAGAAGGAAGACAACGCAAACACTGTTTTTCCACATCTTGGCACCTCTCGTTATTTACATTACATGAGCAAATCGGTGGGCGGGGCTAAACAGGCAGCGATGTTGTATCGGTGGGCGGGGCTAAACAGGCAGCGATGTAGAATCGGTGGGCGGGGCTAAACAGTCAGTGCTGTAGAATCAGTAGGCGTGGCTAACCAGGCAGCGATGTAGAATCGGTGGGCGGGGCTAAACAGGCAGTGCTGTAGAATCGGTGGGCGGAGCTAAATGCCCTGAACAGCAGCTTTACTCAGAATACTCGATCAACATCCAGAGCAATTAGAGCTGCTCTGATCGGCTTTGAACTGCACTAATGAATGCGGATGAGCACAGTGTTGCTGGCAGCCAGAGTCTGAGATCTGCAGAAGCAGCGTTTGTGTGCAAACAGAGGCAGCGGCTCTTACAGGTGGAAAGAAGCTGAAATGGCTGTAAGGCTCCTGCTTGCTGAGCGGCCGCAGCAGAACCGTGCGTTTGTTCAGCTTTTCAGTGCAAGAGAGGACGACCCCACCACACGGGCTCTCTTCAGCACTGCACACACACAAGAGGACAACACAAACACAGAGGTGAAAAGTCAGTTCAGAGCTCTGATTGGCTTGCGGTTTGATTGGAAGCTGGTGAAAAGGATTCTGGGAGCAGAGAGAAGAGAATTCACCACAGGACTGAACATGAGAGAACACACACACTCTCTCTCTCTGTCCAACACCAGGAACAATCGAACGACTGCAGCGTCTCACTCATCAAGGCTCTCATATAAAAAACCTAGCGAGTAGGGCTGGGTTTAAAATAATTAATTGATGTTCACTTTAATGAACCAATCACAAGATTGATCTTTTATCCTGTGCTGTTCAGTTCATGAGTGAAAACAAGTTATTACAGCCAGCATTAATGGCTTTAAATTTAAACAATGAATTGGAAAAGACAACTTTTATTGCCTTATGTATAATTTAAATGTTTGTATATAACTCAAATGTTCATTTTTATTTGAGTGCTTATTTAATTTTAAAATATATAGTGATTGAATTTAACAGTTTGGACTCCTTTAATAAAAACCATTTCATATTATAGTGATGAACTGACAGGTTTGAACTGACTGGTTTTACTGCAGTTGTTAAACCCCTTCTGAAAAATCTCAAAACTCATCTGTTTAGCTGTGCATTTATTGAATGAGCACTGTGCGATGTCCGAACTGATTACACTGTATTTTATGTATAATCATTTTCTATTCTTAACTGTCTTAAATTAATTTTAAATCAATTTTTAAATCATCTTCAATGTTTTTAAATTCCTTGTTCATGCTAATGGGACCAGAAGTGCATGATGGGATTGGTCTCTCAGAGGCAGCGTGTTTTTGGATCTAGACTCTGGAAGAGAGCCTGAGATCTGGGTTCCTGTGGAGCGGGACAGAGAGCAGCGGCGTGCGAGCGAGCGTTTCTAGATCAACGGTGTGAGCACTCCGGAGCTGCAGGGTCTCACCGCAGGCGCACACTCACAAACACACACTCACTCACTCACACGCACGCACGCACATGTTAGTGAGTGTGTGTGTGTGTGTGTGAGTGTGAGTGTATCTGTGTGTGTCTGTTTGTGATGTATGTGTGTGTGTGTGTGTGAGTGTATCTGTGTGTGTGTGTGTATGTGTGTGTGTATGAGCGGATCAGCAGCAGGTCAGAGGTCAGCTCATTCTGTGTGCGCTTCGGAATCAGCTACTGTTTTGTTATTAGTTTAAGTATTTGCTATTGACTGTTCAAATGCGGAGTGTTGCGCATCGTGTGTGTGTGTGTGTGTGTGTGTGTGTGTGTGTGTGTGTGCGCGCGCGACCGGAGGATCATTTCAGTTCTCTGTCAATCTCTGCTTGTTCTGCTCTCAGGGCAGCTGTGATCCCTGCGGCCCAAGAGCCTAGAGCTACTTCCTGTTTCCTGTTTGAAGGGGCGACATGTCCATTTAGCACCAAACAGCCCCAAGAAAAATAACAACAAACAACAGCAGCAGCAGCGCGGCGAGAGCTCAAAGTGTTCCTCTGCGCTTCCCCTCTGCACACGACGCACCTCAGCACAGCTGCATGTCACAGGACTGACAGGAGGCCGAGGCCAAGACCAAGCTTTCCTTCCTCAACCCTCTGCCTCTCTCTGCTTCACACATCAGCCGCAGTGACCCCGGTGCTCTGAGACACGAGTTCATCTGTGTGTGTGTGTGTTAGTGAGTGTGCGTTTGTGATGTGTGTGTGTGAGTGTGTGTGTGTGAGTGTGTGTGGTCAGTACCGTTGAACAGCTGGAGTGTGAGTTTAGGCAGCATCCACTGCATCCAGATGCTGAGTTTTCCGCTGGTGCTGCTGACGCTGCAGGTCTTCTGCTCCAGAGTCATGGTCTCACCGGCCGCAGGGTCCTCGGTGTGCGCCGAATAACCCTGAAACACACACGTCACACACTCTCCCGTTACACAGGCAAAGTGAGCGAGTTATTATATTCTCATGAAACAACAATAGAAAGTTTATTGAAGCAGTGAGTCATTTCTGAGTTCATGTTGATTCATCCCGACTCTAAACATCTTGTTTCCTAAGTTTCAGAAAACATTTTGTACTCCATTAAAGCTTACGCAATTACACAATGTCCTTTTCATGACTGGGTAAACATTTTACCAATGTATTTATATTGATTTTAAAAATATTAGTAAAGCAGATACTTTTATATATTTGTAAATATTTCCCAAACATTTTTTATGTCTGTGTGTAAATTTTAGCAAATGGCTGCAATATAACAAAGAGTGAAAAATTTAAGGGGGTCTGAATACTTTCCGTACCCACTGTATATATATATAGGTGATGATGTGTGTGACCTCTGACCTCTGTAGGAGAGCCCAGGTCAGCTGACGGGCTGTAGTTGCTGGTGTCCAGAGGAATGGTGCCCACGCTGCTGTGGACGGGTGACGAGGGTCCAGCAGGGGGCGCCGAGGAGTCGGGGAATCCGGCTGACGCTCTCTGAGCTCCTCTGCTCTGCATCCGGTCAAACACACTGAAGATCTGACTCCATCGACACCACAAACCAAACACAAGCTGGACCTGACACACACCAGAGCTGGAGTCAACACTCTTCATGGCTTCAATTTAGTGCATTTATGACACGAACTGAACACATTAAGATCTTCTAAAGAGCCGCAGATTGAAGATGAATGTTGAGTAACTTCCTGCTAAATCATAACACAATGAAACGCTTGTAGAAACGAGTGGTTTGACGTCAATCGTCTGGTGTCACGTCACTCTGCTGTGCTTCCTAATGTCTCCAGAAGAGCATCAGCACATCCTCTGAGCTCACGATGATCAGACGCTCATGTTCATGAGCCCATCACTGTCCTCAGCTGCTGACGACTCTATAAATAAACTCCAGTTAGTTCAAACACAGCAGCTGATTCTAACTAGTGTGATAACACAAAACATGACCAACATCTGCTTAGAGAAACCGCTATAGAAACGCTGTGTGTGTGTGTGTGTGTGTGTGTGTGAATGTGAGTGTGTGTGTGAGTGTGTGTGAGTGTGTGTGCGCGTTTTTGTGACAAATGAGGACATACATTTGTATAATGACAAAGGTATGACATAGGTATTACAAGGAGAAGGTGCGTGTGTGTGTGTGAGTGTGTGTGTGTGAGTGTGTGAGTGTGTGTGTGTGAGAGGAGCGTCTCATCCGTGAGCTCATCGCTGGAGTTCAGCTGGATTCTCCACTCAGGATCAGAGAGCTTCAGTTTGGATTCACACACAAGTCTTAGAAAAATAAGCAGAAATCAGAGGATAGATACCACTGAACACTCACTCTCACACACACACACACACACACCCGCCTGCAGACCATCAGAACATCATCTGCAGCAGTGATGATCTTCTCTCAGGATCCACCTGAAGCTGGTGACAGCACTGATGTTCTCTGTCTTTCTCTATCCTGTCATCATCATTTCAGTCTTTACTTCACATGTTTTTTACACAGAAACCCACCAGTTTTGTATCCTGACCCAGAGACTGAGCAGGACACGTCCGTGAGTCATGGTAACCGAACAGATTCAGTATCTCCACAAAATCACAAACGAGCAAATCATTTTTTCCTCCTGCTGGTTTTCCTTCGTCTCGCTGCAGTTCTGCTTCTGATTCTGCAGTTTGTTTTGTGCAGCTATTATTAAACACGCGTTTCACATTCCGCTCACAGCTGATGGCACGGAGAGAGCGGCAGCCAATCGGCTCGCAGCAATCAGCAGCGCTCACAGATCTGCGCTCAGATACGTCAACATTCATTTCACACGGACCCAAACAACGAGATGCTCTATCCGAGAGCAGAACAAACAGTCTGGGTCTCACGTTTCCAGAGAGGATCGAGTGAATCGTGTGTTTGTGTGCGTTCGTGCCTCCGCCGGTGAAGCGAGTGACACTAAACACTGTCTCAGGACAGGATTCGACGGTGAGGACGGCCTCGGGTCACTGCACTGAACGCTTTCATTCATTAATCCTGTATGAGGTTATCCGAGTTAAAGTTTTCTGAGGTTCCAAAGCAAAATCACCCAGCAACGCTGCATCTTTTCCTCCAGTTCTTAATAATAATTACTGTATTGTACTGTATAGACGCAACAAATCAGTATACAAATATAACAGAGAAACAAATAATGCATTACCTTTTTAATTGTACATCTAAACAAAAGCATTCAAGTAAGAAAAACAAATCAAATGCAAAAAACTATTTAGTGTGTTCATTACAATTAAATTGATTATTAAAACTACAGAAGCAGTTCAGTCAAGAGCAGCGAGTGATTCTCTCTTCTTTTATTGTTAGATTAACATTAATGAGACAGAAGGCCTATATATTAATACCTACTGTAATGCACGGATCTAACATAATGTTAAACAGCCGATGTTTTTCCCCAACAGTTCCCCAAACGTTCACTTATGATATAGCAGATTATGTTTGCGTGAACACTTAAATACTGTAATTCTGTGTATACTTATCGGGATCGGGCGCTTTGAATGACAGTCAGCGTGAGAAGCGAGTGGAGAAAAGCTACTCCTCTCAGAAAACATACAAAGAAAGATAATTTTGATGTTTAATTACTATTTGGAGCATTGGCATCACTAGACGAGGGCTTAATGAACTCATTTTTGTGAAAACCTCAAATTAAACTAAAATCGCTTTTTTTGCGTGTAGCTCAAAATTAGCCCGTGCGCATTCACAATCATTCTGCCAGCACGGGTCATATATATTAACCAATAACAACATTCAAACATATATCAGACGGCTGGATTCAGTCTCTAATAGAGATTTATATATATACATGCATATTTCTGTATTTATTATGAGAATGCAGTGGGCTGATGGGAAACGTGGCAGTACCTGAGGGTTGGAGCATTTGAGGTGCACCGGCTGCAGGTCCACATGCAGACACATGATGAAGGCGTCTCTGCTGTCGGGCTGCAGTTTGGGAGCGGTGAGCGCCAGTGTGGAGGTGCAGCCCACCGGCTCGAACACGCTGAGAGACCACTGCTGTCCCAGGAGAGAGTAGACGCTCAGCTGACTCACACACACCGTCCACGGGAACGCATCGCCTGCACACACACACACACGCGTCACACTTGTGCTCCAGAGGGCAGGGAGAGGAACAGATAGTGCCGCTCTGGTACCCTCCTCCAGCACAGGTCTGGGCACAGTGAACGGGACGTCCTGCAGCGGCTCCATGCGCCGGTGTCCTGCGCTCAACACACTGATCTGCGGCAGACACAGCACCAGCGTCCCCGGCATACACGCCTGACTGTGATACCAGCTGCGCACGGTGCCCGGGATACTCTCTCACACACACACACACACACACACACACACACACACACACTCTCACACACACTCACACTCACACTCACATACACTCACACTCACACTCACACAGTGTTAATGCAGACAGTTTCATATTGCTCTTCATGTTCATAACACACACAATCATGTGTGTGTGTGTTTGTTTGTTAGTGAGTGTGTGTGAGTGAGTGTGTTTACGGATACAGCTAAAGCTGCACATACAGATCAAACACAATTATTTACAGGAAGAAAAGAGAATGAAGTTGAGTTAAGACCAGCATTTGTGTGTGTGTGTGCAGATCGGTGTTGTGTTTCTGTTAATGAAAACCACACTGCAGTAACACATTGACTCCGAGAGGCTTTTGATTACACTGGGAAGGTCAAAGCATCTCCAGCAGCTCCTGCAGACAAGAAACATGCGAACCAGCCCAAACCTCCCACACGACACCAGATGAAGCAGCAGAGCGACTCTCCACAAACGGTCTTTATATATAAACACTTATACAAACGCTTTCTATATATAAAATAAACTTCATATATTACTTACAAAATATTAAACAAATTAAGAAATATATTACTACTGCAATTATAGTATTCCATTTTAGTATTAAATAATTTTATAAAATTATAATAATTTTATTTTACAATAAAACTATAAAATTACAATACTAATATTTATGTCCTAGTTTCTTCATTTTCAAACAAACAATCTAGTTTTTATAACCACTTCTCATTACTAACCTAGTGAAATGGGCTGAGAACACTCATCTCACACTCACGCAAATGACACGATGTTTGACTAGTTTCACATCTTTCTTTTTTAGTTCAGCATTTAAAACTGTTATGTTCACATGTACATGTAGACACACCAGAGACCTACAGTAGCCTGATCTGTGGAGAAACGCTCGAATCGGGTATTTTAGATCAAAATATCCTTGGTTCAAGTGGAAAGACAAGAGGTTAGGCATACAGCAAGTATTAAACAAATAAAACACACCAACTTAAAGATAAAAAGGGAATTCTCTGGTAAAACTACTGGCGCAGGATCTGAAGTGTTTGGGGACACATTTTAAATCTCATCAGCCTCTCTTCACAATACAAAGCAGTTTCAAATGGCTTTTTAACAAGATACACATGGGATACCAAATGAACATCTACCAAACACCAGCAAATGAACAGAACAGAACTAAAACTAAAATGCTGTTGCAAGCATGCATGACCAAAAACGCATTTTTTCTTATTAAACAGAACTTGGATGAACAAACGGACACTATGAACAAATGTTGTCTCCCTTTGTGTGAAGCTTCCTGCGTATGATCTGCACATCTGTAATTGTCTGTGTGTGTGTATGTGCATGTGTGTGTGAGAGAGTGTGTGTGTGTGTGTGTGAGAGAGAGTGTGTGTGTGAGTGTGTGTGTGAGTGTGTAATAGTGTGTTTCTGTGTGTGTGTGTGAGTGTGTCTGTAATAGTGTGTGTGTGTGTGTGTGTGTGTGTGTGTGTGTGTGTGTGAGTGTGTGTGTCTGTAAGAGTGT